AAAAAAAAATTAAAATTGAGAAATATATGTTTAAAAATACAAATAAAATGAAAATACATTATGAAAGTTTACGTCTACGAACAATTAGCCAGCAAAGTATAAAACGATCTCCATGTGATCTTCTAAGCTATCTATAGAAAATGAGGCTGGCACCGTTTCATAAACAGAAATCCTATAAAATCGAATCAAGTCGTCAAAACAATGAGATGAACAAGCGAAGGGTTCCACATATCATTAAGGTAAATATTCCTAGAGTTCAATTTATGGATATGTATTTTGAACTAGATTTGCGAATAGCATATCAATCAAATATTCTAAAACTTTCGCTAAGCATCAACAAATTGCCAAACAACTTATAAAAGTATTCAGCCATCAATATACATACAATACTCAGTGTATGTGCAGCTTTATTTCAGGTATTCATATGCATATACATACAAAGCGCACTGTCTGCCTGCTTGACTATTAGTTGAGCATACTTGAGGGGTAACATCTAGTCGAACATTGCAAATATTTAATTTGCTTAGATTGCATGTGCACATATTTAATACATACGCACCGACATACACGACCCAGTGTACATACATACATCGTGCCTAGGCACTGTATCAATATGTGTGCAGGAGTTAGAGTTGAGATTTCTGTTTACGTCTGATTACTATGCAAAGTGTGAAACGCAATTGTCAACAAATTGTCAGCCAAACTTGGGCTAGTTGAGCACAATTTCCACAATTGGTGGAGTTAAAAGGGGGTGGGGGGATGTGGGGTAGAGCCCAGCGAAATGCGAATCGCGTTTCGACTTTTATTTCTTCTTTTGAGTTATGGAACCCATTGGCGATGGAGGCAGCTGCTCCATTGTAGTTCACAGTTGTTGCTGTTGCTATTGCTATTGACTGATAGTGTTCGATTTCAAGGCCAAATTGGGAAGCTCGGCCTAACTCGATTGCCATTTGTGTTTGCATATGGGCACCGTTAACTGAAAACGCCGACAATGAAGCACAATTATATAAGAATGCCAGCCCAATTGGGAAGCCAAATGGGCGCCATAAATTAGCTCAATTAACCGATTCGCTATGAATATTTATTTATCAAAGTCTCTTCTCTATTCATTTATTAGCTATTGAGGGCTATTAAATGTGTATAGGCCTGAAGAATATGGAGAATGTACAGATATAAAGACTGAATATGTATGAATGGATGTACTCAAACTAATTTTCTACAAATTTCAAATTTTTCTTTAAAAGCGCTTAAAGTCAACTATTCATAGTCATATTTATATTCATATATCTACGTATTTATTTTAAGTTCCATACTCGTACCCATCCTCATATCTACATTCACTTTCATATTCATATCTATATTCATA